GTCACTGCCCTGTCCCCATCGGACGTGATGCTCCACCCCGAGGGGAGTTTAGGGAAGCCTGGCATCTTCCCGGACCCCCGGACCTCCGTCGGTGACATGTTCCAGCTGTCCTTTTGGCCAAGCCCTGTCAACCGTGATGAAGCATCGGAGCCCGCGACCAAACAAATATTTTTTTTGAAAACCCGACAGAGACCGTTCCTGGCTTCGGCCTCGGTTGAAGCTCGTGTGAAACGTTAAAAGCCCCATCCTCGCGGATCATGAACAAATAGAAAATGAAAACCTCCTCAAGTGTGAGACTATGGCCACCCAGAACAGACCAGGGAACATACACATCTACAGGTATGAAGAACGGAGATAAGGAGAAACTTCTTCAGCCAGAGAGTGGTGAATCTATGGAATTCACTGCCACAGAAGGCTGTGGAGGCCGGGTCATTGAGTACATTTAAGACTGAGATAGATAGGTTCTTGATTATCAAGGGGATCAAGGATTACGGGGAGAATGGGGTTGAGGAACTTATCAGCCATGATTGAATGGCGGTGCAGACTCGATGGGCCGAATGGCCTAATTTCTTATGATCTTATAGCCTTAAGAAGGCATTGCCAGAGAGACAGTCCACTTCTCCAACTGCAGTTATCTGGCTTCACCAGCTAAACGTAGGGTGGGAGAGTCCAAAACTGGAGGGCTTTGGTTTAAGGTGAGCAGGAATGGTTCATGCGTGTATGGAAAGAGCTGCCAGAGGCAGTGATGGGGGCCAGTACAATTACAACATTTAAAAGGCGTCTGGATGGGTATATAAATAGGAAGGATTTAGAGGGATATGGGCCAAATGCTGGCAAATGGGACTGGATCAGATTGGGATGTCTGGTTTGATCCAAGGGACCAGTTCCCATGTGGTTTGACTCTATCCATCTACATAAACCTGAAGAAAGAGATTGCATTGTGCAAATAACATTTTGGGAGTAGCTGCTTCCTACAACTTCCAGGTTCTATCCCAAAATAGTTGTTGGGAACTGATTTGATTTTGGGTTTGCTACAGCTGACATTCAGCGGGATCACGAGGCAGATACCTGCTTCCCTCTGAACGTGCAGCTGTGCACACACTGGACGACCGCAGGACCAGCCCAGCCTAGCCTCCTGCAGATCGGAAATTTGCTGCTACGTGAGTCATAGCTACTTGGACAACAAGATGGCAGACACCATGCCTCCAGGAAGCCGGTGGCAAGAAGTAGTAGTATTGGCACACGGAGTATTTTTAATCAGCTGAGTCACAGGCAATTTACGCTCACTTGAAATGTGGAATACTGAGAAGACTGGACAGAGTGGACTTGGAGAAGATGCGTCCACTGGCAGGAGAGACTAGGACCCGAGGGCACAGCCTCAGAGTGAAGGGACGACCCTTTAGAACTGAGATGAGGAGGAATTTCTTCAGCCAGAGGGTGGTGAATCTGTGGAACTCATTGCTTCAGAAAGCTGTGGAGGCCAAGTCATTGAGTGTATTTAAGACAGTGATAGATAGATAGGTTCTTGATTAGTGAGGGGTCAATGGGTTATGGGGAGAAGGCAGGAGAATGGGGTTGAGAAACATATCAGCCATGATTAATTCTGCTCCTAGATCTTATGGTCTTCTAGAAATACTTGGGAATGCACAGCTGAATGCTGTTGCTTTGGGTCCTGTTCTGTTAGCTGGTCCCAGCCTGTTACAGGTGGGAGAGGCCCAGTAAGTTATCCTCTGGCAGATTTTCCAGTTCTAAACACAATGTTCTCACTGTGGAATTATTCAGTAAACTGTGCTGTCTGCGCACACAAAAACTAGGAGCAGGAGTAGGCCATTCAGCCCCTTGAACCTGCTCCTCCGTTTAATGTGATCATGGCTGACCTCAAGTCTGCCTCAACTTTCCTGCCCGCTCTCCATAACCTTTCGACCTGTTACTTATTAAAAATTTATCCATCTCCTCCTCAAATTTATTTAATACCCCAGAATTCTGTGCACTCTGGGGTACTGAATTCCACAGATTCATGACCCTTCGAGTGAGGAGAAATTCCTTCTCTCCGTTTTAAATCTGCTGCCCCTTATCCTAAAACTATGACCTCTTGCCCTCCCAGCTTGATTGAAAGCCTGTAGAGTTCCAGTCCCACATGAAACTCCTGGACACATGGTGTTACCCTGTCTTCTATTTCTAGACCATAGAAAGTCCATGAAAAATAGGAACAGGAGTAGGACGCTCCACCAATCCAAAGGATCATCGCTGATCCGGCACTTCTCGTATCCACTTTCCGGCCCGTTACCCATCAAGAATCTATCTATTCAGTCTGTTCCTGCTTACATTGATGTCATCTTGCTATTCTTTGGCAGCGTACAGATTGTGGGACACTAATTAGTTTCTGGTAAAATCTGTTCTTGCATTGGTTGTTGAAGTACTTTGGGTCGCCTGAGGTTGTGAAAGGTGCTACACAAATGCGAGCTCTTTCTTGAAGAATTGTTGATCTTTGAAAAGGCTGTAAACCTCAGACTAGTACAGCCGTTAGCATTCACTACTTCACTAAGTACATGATAGAAAAGTCTTTGTCTGCCTCTGTGTGTGTGTGTGCGTTGAGTGAGAGATGGCTTGCTAGATTTGGTAACCAGCCCAGTCAGATATCTGAGTGGGAGGGCTTCAATTTATCAATGTCCTTGCTGCTGACTTTCCAGGAGGTTTGATTTTTACAAATGACCACTACCGGGTCATTGCAGAAACGAAATTGGGCTGAAAATCGTTTTGATGCAGAATGATGTGAATGCAACTGGACTCCAGTTGTCTCGAAGCTACTTTACTGGGAGACATACAAACGGTGCCAGGTTTCTCCATAAACCAATGAAACAGTGGCAGCGGGTTTAATGGCTTGTTCAGTAATTCGACAGATCGAGAAAAAAATCTAATGAACGAAAACAAAACACGATTAGCACCGAGATGATTCTCGTTCCTCTCGACGTTCCAGTTCTGTTTAGTGCAGTCGGTTGATCTGTTTGAAGTCAGAGAAACATTTTGCTGCTTCAGTTCTGAGAAGCATTCAGTGGAAGTAAATGAGATGTGATTTGGTCGACTACAATCCCATCATCTAGGCACATTTCTGTGAGTCGCTGCGAAAGTATCGAAGCTTAAGAACAGAAATTGCTGGAGAAACTCAGCAGGCCTGGCAGTGTCAACGGAGAGAAAGCAGAGTTAACATTTTGAGTTCAGTGACCCTCCGTCAGCTCATTCTGATGATGGATCAGTAGACCAAAAACGTTGACTTTTTTCCTTGGGCCGTATATTTTATTTATTCCTGCTGAGTTTGTCTAACAATTGCTGTTTTCATTTCAGATTTCCAGCATCCACAGTTCTTGATTTTATTCAAGTACTGACGCTGTAGTCGTTTGGATTCAGTTAAACCATAATCTAGCGACCAAATTCTATTGAAACCTGGAATGTTATGATTTATATTCTACTATTAATTCAGAGAGAGGGCCTCCTGATCTGCAGCCAGCAGTGTGCAACACATTGACGAGAGGAACACAAACCACTCTTCAGAGATAGTAGGAACTGCCGATGCCGGAGAATCTGAGATAACAAGGTGTAGAGCTGGATGAACACAGCAGGCCAAGCAGCATCAGAGGAGCAGGAAAGCTGACTTTTCTGAAGAAGGGTAAAGACCTGAAACGTCAGCTTTCCTGCTCCTCTGATGCTGCTTGGCCTGCTGTGTTCATCCAGCTCTACACCTTGTTATGTCACACTGGGAGATTTTTTTTTTGAGAGCTGTGTGTGCCTAGTGCGTACATGAGTGGCTTTTGAAGAGAACCTGGTGCCCAGCTTCTGGGTTGGATGGGTGAGGGGAGGTTGGTGTGCCCAGAGCCTCCCAGGCATGTGAGCCGCTGCAGCCCCATCGTCTCTGGTGAGACCTGGACTGGCCCATTCCCTGCGAGGCATTGAGGGGAAAGATTTACCAGGGGGCAATGTTTTCATTCAGAGGGTGGTGTGTTTACGGAATGAGCTACTAGAGGAAGTGGTGGAGGCTGGTACAATTACAACATTTAAAAGGCATCTGGATGGGTATATGAATAGGAAGGCTTTAGAGGGATATAGGCCAAATGCTGGTAATTGAGACTAGGTCAGGTCACTGTGGGCGAGTTAGTCCAAAGAGTCCTGTTTCTGTGCTGTATAGCTCTGAGATTGAACTATCGAGATGCAGTCGGTTCACAGCATTACCTCAGACAGACCTGTCCAATTCTGTCCCGGCAGAGTCTGTGGGGAAGTGGAGTGATCCCAGTTGTTCCACCTGAACTGAAGTCTTTAAAACCAGCCAGAGACAGGTAAATTAAAAGTCTCGTGCTGAGCGCTGTATTTCCCCTTGTGAGCGAGTCTAGAATTAGCGGGTACAGTCTAAAAATAAGAAGGTGCCCATTTAAAACTCGAGGTTCAAATAAGATCAGCCATGGCTTTGCTAATTAAACAGGAAAATCCAGTAGAGAAAAGCAGAGATTTATTCTCTTGGGCAGTGAATTGCTGCCTCCTGGAGGTGTGTTGCTGTAATTGCACAAAAATGTCTTCAGCTTCGTGTTCCTCCAATTTCCTTCAGTGTTCAAGGTCTGGCTTCTCTCTGAAAGAATCCCTTTGATGGTGTGACCCACTCTGGTTGGCTAGTTGCATTTCCTGCTGCACTGCTTTCTCTGTTTACCTGTAGAAGACGTACCAAGCTGCCTGTAAAGGTGTCGATATAGTGTGCGGGGGTTTCACGTCGATGTTTGTTGTCTCTTGTGACGTGAGAAACTGGACGTGAATATTGCAGGATTGAAAAATCTAACTGCCATTTAATGCAACTGACCATTTTATTCACACATTACATCACTTAAGCAATATACAGAGGAGATTTGCCAGGGTGTTGCCTGGTCTGGAGAGTTTGTGTGTAAAGAGAGATTAGAAAGGGATGATGCTGCTTGGCCTGCTGTGTTCATCCAGCTCTACACCTTGTTATCATTAGATAGGGATTATTCACCTTGGAGCAGAGGAGACTGAGAGGGGTCATGCTTGAGATGTTTAAAGTTATGAAGAACAATAATAGGGTAGACAGGAAGCAACTTTTCCCCTGGTGGAGGGATCAACAACTGGGGAGGGGGGGGCATAGATTTAAGGTAAGGGACAGCAGGCTTAGAGGGAACGTGAGGAAATAAATTTTCACCCTGAGGATTGTGGGAATCTGACACTTCTTGCTTGTGAGGGTGGTAGAGGCAGAAACCCACATCACATTGAAAAAAGGATTTAGATGTACACCTACCAAAGTCAAGGCATGTAAGGTTATGGACCAGTGCTGTGAAGTGGGATTAGAAAAGTTAGATCGGTGTTTTTGACCAGAGCAGATTCAATGAGTAGAAGGGCCTTTTTCTAGATGGTAGATCTCTATGACTGTGAGAGAGAGACTGGGCTGACATTAAACTATTAGTTTACAACTAATAGGAGTGTGCTTCCAGTGGAGTGTCATGTTTCAAGTAATCCGAGGTAAAATAGAGTATTCAGTATTGATGACATGGGTATGTCTCTCAAAGGTATACTAATGTACTGATACATGGCACTGCAAACTCTGGGCTCAGTGGATAGAACTACTGGCCCTGGACCAGATGGTTAATGCTTCAATGCCCAGTTCAGGACATCAGAGAGTGCACTGCTGTTTTGTAGAGGGATCTGTTAAATTGAAGCCCTGTCCACCACCTTGAAGACGAGGGATAGGGGTTGGAACAGTCCATTATCAATGACTTTGATGAACAGCCTGAATATATGGCTGTGAAGAAGACCAATGTTCCTCAAAGTGAAGGGACAACCTTTTAGAACTAAGATGAGAAGGGTTTCTTCAACCAGAAGATGGTTAATCTGTGGAACTCATTACCACGAAGGTGTGTGGAGGCCAATTCACTGAGGGTATTTAAGACATAGATTTGTTCCTGATTAGTATAAAAGGATCAAAAGTTATGGAGAGAAGGTTGGGGATGTGAAACATTTCTGCCATTCAATTATGGCTGATCAGACTAGCTGGGTCAAATGGCCTAATTCTGCTCCTAGATTTTGTCCAAGTCTGAAGAAGGATGTGGATAAGTTATGTGAGTGGATCAAAATTTGGCAAATGGAATATAATGTGGGGAAAATGTGAATCTGTGCACTCTGGCAGGAAGAATAATAAAGCAGGAGTGAGGCTGTAGAACACTGAGGTACAGAGGGATCTGGGTGTAGGAAAGAGGGACTAGTGTAGGTAGTAGTGTGTTTTTTTTTGGTGGTACAGACTCTTCTGAACTGTGTAATTCTATGATGGAACACGCGGCATATTGTCATTCATTGCAGGGGGAGTGGAAAATACAAGAAGAATACAAACAGCAAGTGCTGAAGAAAATCAGCAGGTCTGGCAGCATCTCTTTGGGGAGAGAAACAGTTAACATTTCCACTCCACTGTGTCTTCCTCTGAAAAGCCCTGAAGAAGAGTCCTATTGAACTGAAAACGTTAATTCTACTTCTGTCTCCACAGATGCTGGCTGAATTTCTCTACTTTCTGTTTTGTTTCAAATTGCCAGCATCCGTTGTTCTGTGCTTTTATAAGAAGTGGGGCTGTTTTGTCCCCATTTTACAGGGTGTTGGTGAAGCCACCTGTGGAAGATTGTGTGAAGTTTTACTCTCCCTGTTTATGAGAGGACATAATAGCACGAGACAGTCAGGGGAAGGAAACTCGACTGATTTCTGGAGTGGAATGTTAGGACATGCGGAAAGGCCATTAGGTATAAGAGAAATATTAGGCCATTCAGCCTATCAGGACTGCCCTGCTGTTCGATCATGGCTGATATGTTTCTCAATCCCATTTCTCCTGCCTTCTCCCTGTAATCTTTGACCCCCAATCAAGAAAGAGGTGAGACAGGCTGGGCCAGTATCCCTTGGAGTTTTAGAAGAATGGGAGGTGATTTTATTGGACGGTATATGATTCTGGGAGGACTTGACAGGTTGGATGCTGAGGCGATGTTTAGCCTGGTGGGAGAGACTAGAACTGGGGCAGTCATGTAAATAGAAGAGAGTCTATGAGGATTATTAGCCTGCAGGATTCTCATTCCCAGAGTGTGGTCGGGGCAGGATCATGGAATGTTTTTGAGTGGGGGGGGGTGCTGTGAGTAGATTTGTGATAATCACGTCTATCGAGGGTGGGCAGGAATGAGTTGATGCCATAATCCTATCCTACTGAATGGAGAGGGGCCAAATGGCCGCCTCCTGCTGTTTCTTAAGTTAGAAGAATAAGTGACAACCAGCAAGCTAGAAAGGTGGGAAGTTTGGCTCATTGTCATTGGTGATTGATTAAAGCAAAATGACAATTTCTTTTCCCCATGAGAGACAGAAGGATTAGCTTCATATTCCCTTACAGTTAAAACCCATTGTGTGCTCTACTGATCAAGCTATTAATTCTTCCTTCTGTGTGCATTACGTTGTGAGTAATTTGGACAAGAGCCGTGTTGACCCTGGATATTTCTTCTTGATAGCCCAGCGCCAGCAACGTTGCTACCTAGTTTCTCCTCCTCTTAATTACGAAGTAGTGGGACCAGAGACTTAGATACAACTTGGGTTTAGGTGGTTAAGTGATGGCCTGTCAAGATGAGTGTGCCTTAGCAGTCCCTGAGCTTTTATGTTACTGTTGTCAACAGAAAAATAGCACGAGATGCGGAGGAATTAGGCATTTTAGAGGTAATCTAAATTGCATTTTTCATAAAAATACAAGGCGCCCTATTGCGAAAGCCTCATAAAAGTGTCTGGTTTATAGTTGTGTAATCTCTGAGCAGCCTGTTAATGCTAAGGTGCACCATCATTAATGTTGAGAGGTAAGATTAATGAGCATTGATCCAGGCAAGTTGTTCCCAGTGCCAGATTATAAAAGGTAAAGTTGCCACTGTCTTATTGGACATAAGGCTGCACTGTCATTAGAGAGAGATGACTGGTGGTGGTTTTTACCTGAGGGTCACCACATCACAGGCTAGGGGATAGATTGGGCAGGAGAATCCTTCGTGATAACCTCAGACAGGGCAGGAATTGAACCTGCGCTTTGGGGGTCTCTCTCTGTATTGGTAACCAGCCCCCAACGCAGCTTTTTATTTAAAATATTTCAATTGAGTAGATTGTCATTTTTTAATCCCAAAGTGAATGACTTTTCTGACACAACTGGGGAAGTCATCTTTGTGCAGGAAGTAACTATGAGGACTCTGTGTAACTGGAATTCAACAACAGGCTTAAATATACAAGAAGGCACTGGATGCCTTTTGAGAAGGGCAGAAGTGATTAAAGGAGGTGGTTGAGAGAGGACCATGACCAAGTCAGGACGTCAGAGAGTTCATCAGAGAGTTTTTTTTTTAGCAACTTCTGTTTTTGTTCCTGATTTATAGCATCCGCAGTTCTTTTGGAGTTTTTTTTATCGTGTTTCTCCATCATTTTGTTTTTATTTTGAATTTCCAACATTCACAGTATTTTGTGTTCTATCCTGATTGTTTAATTTGAAGTCATTTTCTGGATTCTTGCAATTTCCAATCTTGCTGATCTAAACAAGGTGACTTCTCAACTCTTTATAGCTCAGATCTCTAATCCAAGACATTAACCGAGAACCTTCTCCCTGCATTGCGTCTGACGCTGGAATATCTGGCCTTGTATCTCAGTGACTGGACACTGATGAGGTCACTTCCATGCACTTGTACTCTGCTGTTTTGGCTGCACAGTCCAACTTCTGTTAACTGTGTTCATTGTTTCTCTGTATGAATTGGATTTGTGGGCCTGGATTTTTCACTGAGTCAGAATGACCCTGGTCCTGATTCAGGGATTCCTGTAAAATTCTTGCCTCAATCAACATCTCTCAAAACAATAATCTGATGGAGCGACATGATGGCTCAGTGGTTGGCACTGCTGCCTCACAGTGCCGGGGACCCAGGTTCAATTCCACCCTCGGGAGACTGTCTGTGTGGAGTTTGCACATTCTCCCCGTGTCTGCGTGGGTTCCTGCCTGGTTCTCCGGTTTCCTCCCACAGTCCAAAGATGTGCCGATTAGGTGGATTAGCCATGCTAAATTTTTTAAAAATTCACTTCTTGTGGGATGTGGGCATCGCTGGCTGGGCCCAGCATTTATTACCCGTCCCCAGTTGCCTCTTGAGAAGGTGGTGATGAGCTGCTTTCTTGAACCGCTGCAGTCCTCCTGCTGTGGGTTGACCCCCAATGCCCTTAGGCAGGGAATTCCAGGATTTTGACCCAGTGGAGGAACTGCAATATATTTCCAAGTCAGGATGGTGAGTGGTTTGGAGGGGACCTTGAAAGTGGTGGTGTTCTCATATGTCTGCTGTCCTTGTCCTTCTCGATAGAAGTGGACATGGGCTCAGAAGGTGCTGTCTGAGGACCTTTGGTGAATTTCTGCGGTGTATCTTGTAAATTGCCCATAGTGTCCAGGGAGCTGTAGGCTAGGTGGGAAATGCAGGGTCATACGAATAGGGTCGGGGGGTGTGGGTTTGGGTGGGATGCTCTTCAGAGGGTCAGTGTGGACTCGATTGCCCAAATGCTCTGCTTGAACGCTGTAGGGATTCTATGATTCTGCAGTCATTGTCACATTGCTGTTTGAGAGAGCTTGCTGCAAAAAGCTTGGCTGAACTAGACTTAATGGGCTGTTAAAAACTGGATATGAAGGATGCAAATTAAATCCAATTGCTTCTTTCAAATTGTATGACTGAATAGCAGTCATGAGTGACTATATGGCTTCCCCAATCTATATCTTTTTGTATTGTCATTACCTGTGTGTCTCGTGGAAACCACGTGGTATGTTATTGGTCAAGGTGATCAGCATGGGGATAGAGAAGGATAATTCACAGCAATGTTTGGTGCAGATGTTGGTGTTGTGTTTTCTTGCTTTGCTTCTTGTTTCCCAGGACTCAGAATGTGGTAGGGTGTATGAGCCGCAAGGAATGGAAGGGTTTGCTGTTTGATCCCATTTCTTGCTCCTCTCTTTATTTGCAGGGATTTTAAAAGCAAG